CCTCCCTCCCCTCTTCCCCCCCATCCTTTATCACTGCACCTGTGACAAGGCTGAACATCTGAACAACTTCATTCACTGATGACACACGGCTCTGATAATAACAGGCCTCGTGCACAGCTGCAGCATGAGTACCAGACTCCACTCCACCTGCACCATCACAAGAAGTTACTTTAATAACAGCTGCATTAGAAGTACTGCACCATTCACCAAATGTATCCAGGCACACATTATTTTTAGTGTGTCTCACTCACACCAAACCTCAGTGAACAATCACTGAGTTTCTCTATGAGGTTTGGTGCTGTAGAGATTATTTTCTTGCAGCCTTGAAGGCCTGTCAGTAGTGAAGCGTGACTTTAGTGAATTTATGTTTCCAGCGTGAATCAAACCCAGCAGGTGATTTTGGTGAAATCAAAAGTCAAGATTTAAAAAACTTTTGAGGGAGAGAGTCTTTATCATCAGACGACTTTTCTTTTTCCTGTAGAGATAAAGAATTCCTCTGCTGTTATTGTTGTGTTTGTGTGGTCAGTGTATTACAGTTTGTACCTCAACACCATCCTTGGCTAATGGATAATAACTGAAGGATAATAACGTATGATAAGATAAGGTAAAGTCACTGATGTTATCAGTGACTGATGTCATGTGACCTTGTTAACGTGGGTTTGGACATTTTTGACCCTGGTCCACCGTACCTGTGTATGCGTCTCCTCCTCCATCTCCTGCGTGTTTAAGACAGTGGCTGCGTTGTCGGCGCCCAACAGACGCCGCGCCATCTTCTCCTCATAGGTTAATCTCTGGAAGCAGGGATTAATGATGTCAGCAGAGGGGGCGGGGTTAATGTGTGAGTTGCCCAACACACTTTAGATACACTTATTCACACCAGTGTATTCAGTTTACACACACACACACACACACACACACACACACCATGTGACCGACCAGTGGACGAGTGTGTTCACAACCAAACATGTTGCTAACAAAGGATTAGCATGAGCGTGGCTAAGATGTTGTTCAACTACTAACACTTTACCACAAGACACATTAGAAACTGCAGTCTCTCTGGACGACGTCAACATTTGTCTGTTGATACCGATGGCTAACTCTTAACTACGTCTAAGCTAACTGGTAGTATGTTACTTTTTTCTATAATTTCAGCTGTTTTTCCATTTTTCTTAGCGCCATCTTTATCTAACTTCACGTCTAACTGACACTGCTGTATTTGTGTACATGGTACTAGTGTGTACACAGTCCTAGTGTGTACACAGTACTGGTGTGTACACAGTACTGGTGTGTACACAGTACTGGTGTGTACACAGTACTGGTGTGTACACAGTACTAGTGTGTACACAGTACTAGTGTGTACACAGTATTTGGGCTCTGGTGTTTGCTGTGAACAGACTGTAATTCACTGATGTTGAACTTTATGATTTTATTGATGGTTTAAATGAAGCTCTGTGACTTTGACTGGTTAAGGTGTTACTGTAACACACACACACACACACACACACACACACACACACACAC